TAAGGCTGCCTTGGGGATAGCAAATCTTATTATTATGGCTATGCAAAAAGAAGGGACAGCTGAAGATGAAGCTATCAAAAAGATATGGATGGTTGACTCAAAAGGATTAATAGTTAAGGTAATGCAGCTTTCTCATTACTATAAACTCTCATTGGTCTGTTTTAGAGGGAGAAACTTTGTTATGGATATGATTAAGCTATTTAGTGTGTATGCTCTCTCTTTCTTTCTCTCAGTATATAAAAGTCCTTTGTTCTAGATAAAGAAATGAATATGTGGCTTGTCCTGCTTGTATTAAAATCAAGCACAGAACTCCCAGGTGACTTTGATAGGAATCTGATTGGGTCCATAATCCTCATGTAATATCCAGCAGAGATGACTGCTTCTGGCACGTTTTGTATTCTGTGGATTTTAAAGCAGTTCACTTAAATTGAAAAGGGAGAGAAATGTTCAGCTTGTGGTTTTTAATATTTCTCATGTAAATGTGATTATCTGTATGTTTTGAATAGCAGAAGCACTCGTGTTTGTGAGTGCACACTCTTTGCTTCTGGCAGGATACTCACGGAGAAATACTTTTTAAAGTGAAAAAATGCTGACATGATATGAACAATAATATTTTCCTGATTTTGTTGCAGATATCTTAGAAGTTTGTATGAACTTAGCAATTCTGTCTCAAATAGCTTTTATGCATAGTGATAAAGCTCATGTCACAGATGTTGCGGTTTGCAGTGCTATCAACAGTGGTCACGAATTTGAAGTTGCTGAGAGACTTCATCAGTCACTCTTACCTCATTTCTTCCACGTGCCAAAATAAAGAAACATATACATTCCGTGAGCCAAAACAAAGAAGCTTGCATGTTTTAAAAGGTGGTTATGTATTTAATAGCTTGTGAGCTACTTAAAAGAATTGTACAAGAGCTCAATTAACTTCACTTTTCACCTTTTTCATGTGAACGTTCATGATGCTTTTTGAATTTTAATTAATTGTTCCATGCAATAGCTTTTGCTTTGCTTTTCTGAATTCTTCTGTTTATTTTGTAATGGGTTACACTCACATCAACTGCATCTGTTCTGTGTTGAACTTGTAAAATATACACAGCCAACTGTGATCCACTATATTAATCTGAACTGCTACAACATTGTTCACTCTGCTTCAGTAATGATATTAGCATCATAGAAGTAGAAGTGTAAATATTTAAAGGTTATCTATAATATACACAGAGAGGACTTGATGGAGCACAAAACCATCATAATACCTAATGCTATCTATCCACTACAGTGCAATTTTTTTATTTTGTTATAGAATTACCATGTTCAAGTAATGGGGTCATACTTTCTCCCTCTTTTGCCTTTCTTTAAGAACCTCAAAGTATTTTACAGAGGTTAATTATTGGAGCCTTGTGCGTCTTCAGTGGCTGACAAAAAATAGAGACTGTTTCATAAGACTGACCCCTTAAAAATATTCACTGTATTTTCTGCATTTTATGGACAAGAAGCTGATCAATAGAACAACAATGATTTGACCAAAATCAATCAACTGGTCTCAAAGAAAAATGGTGACATTGATGAGAACTGTCATAACTTCAAAAGTGTGAAAGTTAAATTACTTAGCAGCTGTTTGTGCATATTTACCCCAGCTAAAGTAGAACAGCAGCCTCTAATATTTCTTAACCATCTCCTTTGATTGCTCCCTTACACCTCCTGCAATTGTTGCTGATCTGCTAAACAGCTGAACTGTTGTGACAATGGTTTTTGTCTGTTGTCAGTGTTTTCCATGACTTGATTATATCCTTTCCTCTCTCCTTCCTAATATTTTTTGAAGTCAAACAAATTTTCTGTTGTGTAGGACAAAAGAAGGTGCCTTGCACAGTTCCTTTTGTCCTTCTATTGTTGCACTGCATCTCTTTTTGGAGTCTGAGAAGGAGCCCAGTAGATTCAGGGACTGCCCTGAGTATGTTCATAACATGTTCATGATGGCTAGACAGAGCTGCTGTCTGAGATGGATTAGGGTTGATCACTGTTTAGTTTGTTGTGGGATTTGTGCCTAGATGTTGCTGCAAGCAGTCAAATTTTCTGACCTCCCCAAGCTGTTCTGGAAGGTCTCAAAGCACAAGTCATTAAGTGAGTCAGAGTTTAGAGACCCAACTGTGGACACTTAGAATATTTTAGGACTACCCACTTCAGTACAAATCTGTCTGGCTAGGCCTTGGTCACACCCAGTTGGAGCAGCATGTGATAATACTTCAGTGCATGTCCTTGAAGTAACCTTGGGGGAGATACGCTTCAGCTTTGGGATTCCATTAAAATCTTCTACCCCCCCTCACCCCCTTTGTTAGATGAATGTACGCAAAGAAGGGAGAAACGAATAACAAAAGATAAAAAAGTAGGGCTTCCATCTCTTAATACTTGTATGTCAGTTGCTGGAAAGCTGTAGTCACAGAACATGGCCAAACAGACCACTCCAGCAGTCTGTGTTCCCTGGCTCACTGTGTTGGTTTTATTTTCTCTGACCAGTAAGAGAGAAGCAGTACTTTTTATTGAGATAGGCTCGGACATTGTTTGGCTTTGATTAATCAAAATAGAGCATTAGAGGGTTTAATTTGTCTGAAGTTTTGCAAGTTTCTTAAAAGCACAATCAGAAAAGAGGGGTGGGGGCATAAGGTGGAAGCTGAAATTGGAGACTGAGATAAGAGAAGTCCTTGATTCATATTTTAGGAGTTCCTGAAGAGATGGAAATGCTTCCATATTTGGACTGGTCAAAACAGCATTCAGTCTGAGGTAAAAGGTCAGCAGTATGATGGTAAATGTGTTTCTCAAAGTGATAGTAATGACTGAGGAGGGAGGAAGATAGTCCTTAGTATCTGAGTAAGTTTGTCAATTTTAAGGCTAAAACAGACTATTATGATAATGTAGCCTGACCTCCTTTAAACAACCAATAGAACCTTACCCAGTAATTCTGAATCAAGCTCATAATATCCATTGAGCAATAATGCACCTTTCAGAAGGTATCACATTTTGATCTAAAGATTTCAATTAATGGAGAGAATACATTGTGTCCATAGCTATATTTTTCCCATAATTAAGTATCTTTCCTTGTTTTTCTAATGCATCTTATTTTGAGTCCAATTGATCTAACTTCACCTGTTCATCATCTGGTTCATGGCTTTTCTGGTAAATTAAGACAACTTTGCTGCCAAAATCTCTTCCTCATGTATGTTATAGATCTTAAGCAGGTCACCTGTTAACATTTCTTAGATTGATTAAATAGATTGTGTTTCTTAAGTTTATTATTATAATGTATGGTTGCCAAATGCATCCCAGAAAAGAAATGTACACAAGGGTAGTTTGTTATAATTAGGGACCTACTGAAAATATGACTGTGATTTTCTCAGAAAACACAAAATCAAGCGTTTCCCGTGAAAAATGGTGGGCTTGCTAAAAAAAACCCAAACAAACAAAAAAAAAAAACCCAAACAAAAAACCCCCCTTATTAGCAAGCAGAGGGAAGCCCTGCAATATCGGGAGAGGGGAGGGAAGGGGAAAGATTGCTCACAGCAGGAGGCAGGAAGGCTGCAAGCAGCCTGGGCTCCATGGCCGGCGGTAGGGGCTTGCCTGGGCCCAGGCTGGCTACAGCAGGCAGCTGCTTGCAGGCTCCCCACTACCTGCTGCAAGCAGCCCAGGCCCAGCAGCCTCTGACAGAGGTTTGCCCAGGCCCGGGACACCTGTGGCAGGTAGCCAGGAGGCTGAAAGTGGCTACATTGGGTTTCATGGAGCTCTGGCTCACTCCTTGCTGGTGGTGGGTGCACGTGTGCCTTGTAGCTAATGGCAGAGAAGGAGCTGAGGGCAGCACAGCTCCAGCTCCTTTTCCACCATCGGCTCCAAGGTACACATGCACCCACTGCTGGCAAGGAACCGGGCCAGGGCTCTGTAGAGTCTGGTGCAGCCACTTGCGTGAGGGTGACCTGAAACTGCAGCTTAATTACCCTGGGGAAGGTAGCCATTTATTCACATGTAGTAACACATGGATTAATGGCTTCCCTGGGTTCAATCAGGGTAATTAAGCTGTAGTTTTGGGCCATCTGGCAATCTGGGGAGGAGCGGAGCCATTGGGGCCCCTCAAGCAATCAGAGGCATGGGGTGGGGGGCCCACCATGGTAAGCCTGCAAAAATTGTGACTAGCCAAACAATCTGCCTGCAAAATTGGCTGGCCACCTCCTCGAGTTCAGTAGATCCCTAGTTTTAGTTTGTCATATTAAAAGTGGTCAGTCAAAACTACTTGTCAATAATACCCCATACATGGACACTTCCTCTTTTTCTAAGATGATTCTGGTCTTCTGCTGTAGCAATTTGGAAATGTTACATCAAACCTTGGGAGCTTCTAACCAGGAGTAACTTTGTCCAAAAAAAGAAATCGCCTCTTGGAGAAACTGGCCAATTGTCGCCTTGGGTCCTCCACGATCCACTGGCTGGAAAATTGGCTCCGGGGTCAGACCCAGAGGGTAGTAATTGATGGAAGTCACTCATCATGGTGTCCTGTGACCAGTGGGGTCCCCCAAGGCTCTGTCCTTGGACCCATACTGTTCAACATCTTCATTAATGATGTGGACACTGGAGTCAGAAGC